CAAAGATGGTCTTAATTACAACCATTGACAGTGGTATTATAAAATTGTTGACTTGTAAAACTACTGATCCTGACACATTATTATGGTGAAAATTAAAAAACCAGTTAAGCCAGTGCTAGTGCACATGAGAGATTTTACAACTTTCAATATCTTTCATAAACAGACTAAGTCTGCAATTTTCTGTTTAAAACTCTTGAAGGATTTCAATAAGAGAAGACAATGTAAAGGGCAATGACCTAAAATACAAGTAACATCATCACTTACCAAATATTTTTGTATAAGCTCTGAGCCAACTACTCTAAGGAAAGTTGCAGATGTTTGATTAGCAACAGCCTTTGCAAGTAATGTTTTACCTAAAAATATAACCTCAAAATTTAGATTTGGTACATTATTGTCAAAACCAAAGTCAGTATCTAATACAATTTAAGACATTCACTTTATGGAAATGTTATACAAGTCTTAAGTTAAGGCATACAATCTTTTTTATCATCAATTTCATTTTAAGCATAACTTAAAGCAAGTTATATCAATTAATCAGTATCAGTTGAGATAATAAACCCTGCTTAAACTAGAACTGCCACTGTCATGGCATAAATACCCCCCCTCCACTTTGTCAGAATCAACAGTGGCCATTTAGAACCACACTGCCAAATTTAAGGTTACTAAGCCAGTGCATTGCTAAGATATGTATTCTCCATGCTTCAAATGTGAAAATTTTAAAATCAAGTTTTTTTTAGTCAAGGCCCCTGTGACCTTGACCTTTGACCCAGTGACCTCAAAATCAATAGGGGTCATTTACTAATCATGACTAACCTCCATGCCAAATATGAAGACTGTGGGTCAAAGGAATCTCAAGTTATTGGGCAGACAATCTTTTTTTAAGTCAAGGCCCCTGTGACCTTGAACTTTGACCCAGTGACCTCAAAATCAATAGGGGTCATCTACTAATCATGACTAACCTCCATGCCAAATATGAAGACTGTGGGTCAAAGGAATCTCAAGTTATTGGACGGACAAGCTTATTTTACGTCAAGGCCCCTGTGACCTTGACCTTTGACCTAAAAATCAATAGGAGTCATCTACTAAGTATGACTAACCTCCATGCCAAATATGAAGACTGTGGGTCAAAGGAATCTCAAGTTATTGGGCGGACAAGCTTTTTTAAGTCAAGGCCCCTGTGACCTTGAACTTTGACCCAGTGACCTCAAAATCAATAGGGGTCATCTACTAATCATGACTAACCTCCATGCCAAATATGAAGACTGTGGGTCAAAGGAATCTCAAGTTATTGGGCGGACAAGCTTTTTTAGTCAAGGTCCCTGTGACCTTGACCCAGTGACCTCAAAATCAATAGGAGTCATCTACTAATCATGACTAACCTCCATGCTAAATATGAAGACTGTGGGTCAAAGGAATCTCAAGTTATTGGGCGGACAAGCTTTTTAAAGTCAAGGCCCCTGTGACCTTGACCTTTGACCCAGTGACCTCAAAATCAATAGGGGTTCGTCATCTACTAATCATGACTAACCTCAATGCCAAATATGAAGACTGTGGGTCAAAGGAATCTCAAGTTATTGGACAGAATAGGTTTTTTAGTCAAGGCCCCTGTGACCTTGACCCAGTGACCTTAAAATCAATAGGGGTCATCTACTAATCATGACTAACTTCCATGCAAAATATGAAGACTGTGGGCCAAAGGAATCTCAAGTTATTGGGCGGACAAGCTTTTTAAAGTCAAGGCTCCTGTGACCTTGACCTTTGACCCCAAAATCAATAGGGGTCATCTACTAATCATGACTAACCTCCATGCCAAATATGAAGACTGTGGGCCAAAGGAATCTCATGTTATTGGGCGGACAAGGAAAAACCGACGGACAGACAGGGAGACGTCCGGACGGACAAGCTGATTCCAGTATACCCCCTTACAACTTTGTTGTGCTGGGGTATAAAAATAAAAGACTGTACATTATTGAAACTAATCACAGAAAATCAAGGTGAGTCTGGTTTTTTGCTGTTAATACACATCAAGAAATTTACCTGTTCCAGGTGCTCCATATAAAATAACACCCTTTGGAGGTTTGATACCCATTTCTTCATAATATTCTGGATGAGTTAATGGCAATTCTACAGATTCCTGCAAAAAGAAAAACATTAGCCAAGACTTAAACTCAACCAAGCAAATTTATGTGAGACTATTTTTCTCTAAAGTTTAGATAAAGCAAATTTGAAGTTGTTTTGTGTTGGATTTTATGACACAATGACTCTAGGTCATATTGCAACTTTCCAAACATCTGGCCTTGAAGATTAAGGTTATTTATGAGAGGTGAAGTTCAGTCTGATCAACTTGAAGGTCTTGTCCAAAGGGTTTTTGTGTCTAAGTATGAAGGCAATCCATTGAGAAAATTAATTATGACAAACATAGTTTTCAGACTGCAATGTCAACAAGACTGTAGCAATAGCTCTTTTTTCTTCTTCGAAATTGTCAAGCTAAACATGTGTTGAGATATTTTTAGCATCATAAAATCACAAAGTTATACAAATCATTAAATTGTACCTTAATTTCTTGAATCTGCGTATCAAGACCACCTATATCAGCATATGTTTCTTGTGGAGCCTTTTCTAATTTCATCACAGTTACCATGGGATCTGTATCATCTCCTAGCACTCCAACAACTGCATGCACCTGTTCAAACATTATGTAAATCAAGTATATTTTGAGCCATCTTTGATCCCCTCAAGAACAACTTTTTCACATTTTAATCAAAATTGAATTTATATACAGCTAAATTGTCTCATTAATAAATTCAACTAGTAAAAAATTCTAGATGATCATTATAGAACTTTTTTTTCTTAGGAACAAAATATCTAGAAAGAAAATCTTAGTCAGAATTCTTAAAATTTTGATAAAAGGTCATGCCTTTTTTTTTATTAATTAAATAATTTAGTATATTACCTTATGGTTGAGAAGTACAGAGCAGCCTGGCTCTAGTTGATCTTTATCAACAAAGGACAATATGGAGACGTAATGTTCACTGCCAACAGATGTAGATACAATAGCATGGTTATCATCAATTATTTCCTCCAGTGTACCTACAGACATTGGGGAGCCTCTTAACTCATCAACTTTACTTCTCTCTTCCTGTAAAATATATCACCACATCAACAAAATTATGTATGAACAACAGATTTTTACATTATCATTTTTGTATCAGGGGGAGTCCAATAACAAACAAGGCAAATCATATGAATTCTTCTATCTCAGCACTTATTGAAAATGTGGACACCTACTGATTCCACTGATTTGAATTTCTTATATCAGACATTATAAAAATTGTAGCGTACATACAAAATAACTTGCTTGTCAACAAATTAGATTTTTAAACAACAATATTACCTCATGTTTTTCTTCTTGTGGCTTTAGTCTTTCCTGGTTTCGGATAAATTCTTCCTCCATTAGTAGATAGTCTTTGATCCTCTCTAGCTTCAGTAGTTTTAACCTACATCTTGTATATGGTGTGACTGAAAACAAGAAAATAGGTCAAACCTGAATAATTCATTATGGTTCACATGCTAAGCTGCAAATAAATAAATAAAATTATGACTGTTCTGTTAGCATGCCATTGCATTTAGATTTAGTTTTTATAAAATAAATGCTAAAATCATAATGAGATTATCAGAGGTTGAAACATAAATCTAGGTCCATATACTTTTAAAGGAAGTCTTTAAAAATATTTTTTTAGGAAAAACTTTACAGTAAAAGACATGTAACTCTCCAGCTATTTAAAACACTTGAGAAAATCTTATTTTAAACTAATATCCTTTAATATATTTCTGACAAAATGCATGTATCCACCCACAGAAAGTTAAGAACAAACTTTTGGTGAATTATGTTATTTTTTACACGTTTATATAACTTATAACTCAATCTTGGATATTTAATAAAAACTATATTTCAACAACTGAACAAGTCACATTTTATCTAAATAGTACCCATTGGGAGTTTGCTTGCAGCATCTGGTCCTTTAATCTTTTTCTTTTTCTTCCCAACTCTTGTTGGAATTGGTGGTTCATACTTCTTTTTCTTTTCCTAAAAAATAAAGAAATAAAAAAGTTTTTATTTTCAAAATTTTCTAATTCTAGGTAATGTTATACTCAAGCACCTCACTAGATTAATAAACTGCGGCTCTATAATGATTTCACAAACACTCAATATCAAAGAATACTTAAATGGAATGTTTAGAAAAACAAGCAATTATCAACTGTTCAACATATTGCAAAAAAAAAAACATGCATAAAATAAAGGAAATTGGAAAGCATATTAAGTAGGATAAGTAGTCTAGAAATTAGTATTCACTCTAATAATGGCTCTGAAAAGAATGTTCTATCATTGTTGACTTTGATTGTTGAGGTCATACAAGCAATCTTACTTTATCATCTTTCTTCTCTCCACCACCACCACTTCCACCAGATTGTTGTTGTCCCTGAAAAAAAATGCAACAGCATTATTAAACTAATTACATAGCATAAAGATTAAAGTATGTAAACCAAAATTTATTGTTTTTTCCCTGCTTGTTGCAATGCTTGAATTTTAATTTTTCCCTCTCACTTTCATTGCAAAAATATGTACTCTTAAATGCTAAAACAAATTATTAAATAAATATATATAACTTTTTTTTCCTTTCTGTCAAAGTCTACATTGTACTGAAAAATTCAGCTGTGCAGTAGTCTGCTGCCTTTTTATTTTGTGTGGAGACATTCCTTATTGGTTCTGTGAAGACTCCTGACCAATACACAAGCACTTTGTTGCATTAAATTGATTAATAGCTCATAAGGGTGTAATGGTTTACTGGTATACCGATATATTGCAATATGAAAAAATAAATTTCGTACCGCGGTACCATTTTTATAAAACCGGTTTATATAAAAAAAATCATAATTTTCAATTAATTGCCTTCTCTTTTTTTACAAATTTCACATTAAATCTTTAATTGGCGATTTTTTTTGGCGCCAACATAAGGTAAAAGTATCCAACAACTAGTGCACTTATAAATCAATAAGCGGCCGCATATTTACATAAGCGGCCCAGATGTGAAAGTTCACACGCGACTAGTTTTGTTTATCAAATTGTGTGACACTTTATTTTCTATTTATTCCTTACATTTTTATTAAGTTTCTACTAAGAATATATACATATAATAATAATAATATATAATGTTACTCCATCTTGACATCACAATATGTATTGCAATACACTTCAGCAAAATGGCAATATATTGCAATACGGTTTTTGCCGTATTGTTACACCCCTAATAGCTCAGGGGTTGTTTTTTTTCCAAGAAATTGGGAATGGGTCCATTTATCGAATTTAGCACTGGCCCGGTGGCCCATGGCCAGTGAAAATTAGTTCAGGCCAATGTAAATTTTAGGAAAATTTAGTTAAATGTTCAGTAGAATTAATTCAAAACTGGAATTCGGGCCAGTAAATTCAAAATCTTAAATTCAATGAATGACTTTGGGTCCTGTATTCATAAATTGGGAATTTTTTAGTCATGCATCAAGAAAAGTGCTAAATTAGAAAATTTCCTATTGTGAAATAAGGCAAATTAGGAATATACTGAAAGTCAAGATTCATAATTACAGTATTTTCAAGTAATGCCAATCATTCTGCTTTCTTTGTTTACATATAACAGTGGTTTTTCCTTGCTTAATTGCTTAGTTGATTTTGGGATAAAGTATCGCTAGTATTGCTAATTTGATTTTTGGGAAACTGCATCATACTCTCAGTAGTTTGTTATGTGCTGTCATGCATACTTTGAAGTTAAAAATCTTTGACCTCATTCAATTAAAAATGTAATTAGTTGAATTTGTACTGCTTTACACAGAATATTGATTATTAAATTCATCGATGAAATTCAATGCAGACATATAGGAAAAGTTAGGTAATACAGAGTCCCATGCTACCACTTTAGCCATCTCAAGAATATCAATGTGGTTATTTTGGGGAAATAAAAACAACAACAATATTTCTATTTTATAAGGCCTACTGGTCGGAGACCAGCAACCAGACACTTTTGGAACATTTTTCCGTACAGATTTCATAATTTTTAACCTAGAGACCAAAAAATTTGACACAGTTCAGCTAGGTTCTTCTCCTAACTAACAAACTAGTTTGTTTATTTCTGATTGTATTGACACTTATATCTGAGGCTCGACAAGGAGGGTATCAAAATTACCTAAATTGTCTACACTACAGTACCATGTGTCCGGACAGATATGTACATGATGTGATTTAATTCAGATAAAAGCTTGGGTGTTTTGATTTTTGATTTGTAACATGATATACAAAATGTCAGCAACAAATGCTGAAGTTTTGGATATTCTATTATTCACTCTGCAAATGATTATAGCAGGTATACTCTAACTCTGTATTATCGGCGCAACTCTATTACCGACGTACTCTCAGTATTTTGTCAGGTGCGGTCATGCATACATTGAAATTAAAATTCTTTGACCTCATTCAATAAAAAAAGTAATGATTAGTTGAATTTGTACTGCTTTACACACAGAATATTGATTATTAAAGTCATCAATGAAATTCAATGCAAACATATAGGAAAAATTAAGTACGCCGATAATACGGAGTCCCATGCTATATTAAGTCAGGCATTGCTTTCTTGACCCCCAAATTTCAACGTCAACATTCTTGAAATAGACATTAAAATATTACCATTTACGAAGGTTGAAATAAATTTATTTACTTAATTTTAAAAGAAACATGAACTTATTGTTAATAAAAAAGTGACTGACAACCACTGAACAAAGAAAATGTACTAAATTAAGCATTTTCGGGGCCGTCAGGGTTTGGTGGTTGTCCGGTTTTTGTGGTCCCCAACCAGTACAATTATAATAGCGAGCTTGACAAGCTGGCCCGAAGGGCCTGCTCGCAAAGCAAGCTTTACGGTAACGCGAGTACCTGCTAAGTGATGGTTTTGAAAACTTTCGTCCAAAGTACCGAATTGGACACATCGCAACCTTTCGAATTTAAAGATAACGATAAAAACTGAGGAATTCTGACTGAAAACAGAAGTGTAGATTGGTCACCCGCGCACGTCTATGGGAACCATAATTGAACAGGGAACCAGAATAACGGAAGCTGTGTATAAAAAATGAAAATTGAAGGTGCCATTTTGTTTGAAAAATCTGATAAATAAAAACAATTTTTTGTCGAATTTTGTTGTGAAAACTATCTAGAATGAAAGAAAATGGTCTAACTAAGAAAATGAATCCGAACACCAATATCTTTTATTCAGTCGTTAACGCTGTACAGACATTTAAAGTATTGTTTACGTGACGTCACAATGTAGCGCCAATCAGCACGTGCAAAACAATCAAGTACGCTATTTTAATGTCGCAAACGGTTTAAGTTTTACATTTATTTCAGTTTTAATACGGGGAAGTCAAAGACCAGGCCCGCGAAGCGGGTCCGGGCTTTGGCTTGCCCGGCTATAGACTACACGTGTATATTTAAAAGAAAATGAAATAAAAAACAATTAAAAAATATATAGAATTCTATACCTATCAATGAAATTTTCAGTGTCAGTTCTAGTCGGGCGCCGCCATTTACAATGTAATGCAATGATAATAGGCGGGGTATTCCGATAACGGAACAAATCTCAACTTTTCGGATAAATGATAATGGTCGAGTGTTCCGAGTGAAAACGATAGCGGTGCATATAATACCGAATGACACCTTTAAAACGGAAAGAATGAAAGGAATTTTTAACCACTTCCCCGTTCATAGGCTTTGCCTAATTTCATATTAATCTTTATTTAGCATGAAAAATTATAGAGTGAAATAAAATAAAAAACAAAGTAACAAACAAAGTTTTATCAACGTTTTCAAAACTCGTTATTCATTTAACGACAGGGGCGGAGCCATATTTAACATAGTGCGTATGACGTCACACGCACTAGTCACTGCATTTGAAATAAAAATGAGCTATTATTTCATACTATTTCACGTTAAAAGTACATCGAGCTTGCTTTGAGGCTTTGCCTTTTTCATATTATATACAGTATCAAAAAAATGGGGGTTGAAGTGTAATATAAACAGTATCAAAAAATGGGGGTTGAAGTGTCTCAAATTTCACAAGCGTCTGCAAACCGTCTGCAAAAGTGTCTGAGGGGTGAACTCTCTGTAAATCGTTTCAAAGTAGTTGTATATCGATAAAATCTTTCAAACACATTCTGCCTTAGTGTGTTTTTTCAGGTCTAACTTAGGTACAGAATTATTGCCATGAAGTAGTTTGCGTCTTTACATACCCCACCCACCAGGATTAGCAGTGATTCAGCAGTTTGACAGCATTCGGCTTAAAAAATTAATGTAATTATACTATGGAAAAAAACTAAAGACGAAACCAGTTTTGACACTCATTTTTTACATTTTAGACAAGTTAACAAAAATAATTGCTAGAGGCTTTATTAAACTGTCTGTAACAAAAACATTTGACCAAAATATTATTTTTTGATTTTCCTCACCATTTTTTTCAGTTGATGATGCGCATGCGTGTTTTACATTATATCAACAACTCGTGACATTTGACAGGGTATAATTCTACTAAATTAAAATCAAGGAGATTATCATGTTTCGCGATACTATAAATTATGGGATAGTTCTAGGTTGAGAAAAAAACTACAAGACTTACTATAGAAATTTGAATAGTAATTCAGTACTTAGCGAAAATGTTTTAGGAGAAACATTGATATACAAAGCGAGGGGTATAGATGGGAAAAGAGTCAACTCGGCCCTATACCAACCCGGCACGGGTCAACTCGGCCCACTTTACAAAAAATATATAGGTCTATAACGTATTTACTTTGCTTTGCATGTTGTTAAGGTAAATGAATGATAAAAAATATCTTATTATTATTATATAATTATACATTGTACCTCTGCTGAAATAAAGTATATTTAGAAAAAAAAGTATTTATTTGTCTTGCAGCTTCGATAAAATTAATATAGACACAGGCACGATTATCGAATCTGGGAAGAAAAAATATGAACAGATTGATAAAATAACTTCATATTTTTTCTTCCCAGGTCCGATACATGTGCCTGTGAATATAGTTATAATAAAAATGTGTTCCCTTAGATGCATTTTGTTTGTAAAGTAATTTTCAAAAAATTATGAAACAAAAACGTGTTTACTTAATAGCATAAGCTTCTAATGAATTGCAGGTGGTCACTAATCAAATTTGAATGAATGAGTCAATCATAATTATCACCTAATTAAACGGTATCTTTAACATACACATTGATTGATAATAATAGCCCGTGACAATAGGAGTCCTTTGATGTCCTTTACCCATTTTTAAAAGTGGGCCCAGTTGACCCGTGCCGAGTTGGAATAGGGCCGAGCTGACTCGGGGGCCGAGTATGTTTTAGGGCCGAGCTGACCTGGATTCTTATTTTCGCTTTACACGCGTACCGCGGCAATTTGAGCTATTTTCGTGAGAGTATTTTCGGCTCAAACTTTACTTATTAAAATATTTTTTTTTGTTCTGAAATTTTAATTTGCTGCAAAATCATTCAATGAATGCATAAGTATATTACTTACATAATTATTCAAACAGATAAATGCACTATTTCAAAAATAAATCTTATTTTCTTAGCCGCGATCTTATTTTCGCGAAAATAGCTTATTTTCGGTATCCATCTATACGAATCCAGGTCAGCTCGGCCCTAAAACATACTCGGCCCCTGAGTCAGCTCGGCCCTATTCCAACTCGGCACGGGTCAACTGTCATTAATATAAGTTTTTTTTTCATATTCTTAAGAAAGAATTCAATGTTAGCATTTGAAGTGCCAGAATAACTAGATTCTTTCTTGCTCGACACGGATGCATTTGCCTGCCTCTGTTGCTCAAAAACAGAAATATCTAAATTATTCATTTCTAAAATCGGATCGTTCAAAAGTTCAGAATTTGCGTCCCTTATTACCTCGCCAACACTAGTTGTCATTGATGCTAGAAGCACTATCATAACATACCTACTTGAACGTTGAGTAGGGAATTTCGTGGGTTTACTCTTTCGATCTTTGCCACTGTTTCCACTACTGCTTTCGTTTACCCATAGGATACCGTTTATCGTTCACATATGCACGGGGAATAATAAATGCTTTTACTAAAAATCTTTAGTTGTGTACCACTTATGAGTACGAATACACGATAAGGCGGACAAAAATGTTGTTTGTTGACGAAGAAGGCTGTTGTGTCCAACAACGAAAATTAAGAAGGTACTGAGCCATGTCAAATACATCAATATACATTAATTATTAAAAAAAGTAATAATAATAATAATATTTTCTATAAGTCCAGATAGAAATAGAATGAGATAGAAAAGAAAGAAAAAAAGATAGAAAGAAAGAAGGAAGGAAAAAAAAGCCAGAAAAAATGATCTGTGATTTAATCCTTTATAATAGTTTAACCAAAATGAATACTATTAATAATAAATTAATAATTATTATTGTGTGTGTGTGTGTGTGTGTGTGTGTGTGTGTGTGTGTGTGTGCGTGTGTGCAAAACCTGGAGTTTTCTTTTACCATAGTTAAAATCTAACGGTACCTTTTAAATGTTAGGGATATACTCTGATTAAATGATGATAATGTTTGAGAGTTGTGAACGTCACTTTGAAGACTGTTTCAAAAGGCTCGAGTTGTGGACGACAAGAAGGGATTATAACATATATAGCATGGTACGAGCCCTGGGAGCTCTGTAACAGGTTTGATATAGTAAGTTGTATGATGTCTAATCGATATTGTACAATCCAATAGGAAAAAACTTTATTGTTGTTTCGTTGATTTTAAACAGGCCTTTGATTCCGTGTGGAGGGTTGGATTATGGCAAAAATTGAGACAAAATAATATAAATGGAAAATGTTTTAATGTCATTCAAAGTCTTTAAATAATAAACATTTAAATCGCGAGTGGTTAACTTCCTGAAGGATGTACGAAAGTGGCCTTTTCAGCGACTGTCTGTTGGGGTAACGGTCAAGGGGACAAACATGTCTCCTTTTTTATTTCTTCCAAGTTTTCTTTGAATGACCTTGAAAGCCTATCTTAAATAGTAGTTGGATGTAAATGGAGTTTCTAGAGAGTTTTTGTTGAAAGGGGTGCGGTTTATTTGAAACTTTTTAATTTTACTTTCGCTGACAGTACACCGTCAATTATCAGTGATAATGAAGAAGAATCTTCAAATTGCTGTTTAAAATAAATTCAAAAGAATACCTGCGATCCAATGGAAATTAAACATTAAAATGTAAACAAAGACAAAAATTATGAATTTTCAGTAAGAAGGCCGTCCTCAAAGTTGTAAAGTGTTTACAATAGGAGAAAACGTTTCTTGAAGTTTGTAAATGAATATAAATATTTAGGTATATACTTTAATAAAAGTGGGCTCTTTTTTATAAAATCTAAAATTGCAATTGCAGAAGCAAGCAAATAAAAGCTATGTTTTGCATTGGTTAAAGGAAAATTAAAAAAATTGTTAGCTTTATACCGTTTGAATTTACCCAAATTGAACTATTTGAAAAGACGAATCTAAACCACCTTTTAATTATATGGAAGTGAATATTTTGGGGATTTGGCGATGTTTCTGTTTTGGATAAAAAGTTCAATCTGAAGTTTTACAAATATATTTTTAATTTTAAAAAAGTCTACACCGTCTTATATGTGTGGTACGGAGACGACAGGCCATTTTTTTTCCTTTAAAAAATTCATCATTAAAAATAGGGTTGTATCAATACTGGACCAAGAACTTATTGATAATATAAATAGTAAATGAAACAGCGAAACTATCATCAAGTTGTATTATTGTTTAAGGGAACTACAAAATAATATTATTTAGTTAAGTCACTCTGGATAGAAAATGTTAAACAATATTTATGTGAGACAGGTTTTTTCTGGAATATGGTATGCTCAATGTTTTAGCAGTAGTAAACTGGGCTTATTAAAGCAAACTTCAAAAGTTAAATAGATATCTATATTTCAAAGCTGGAGAGCTGAAATTAACAATACATCAGACTCAAATTTGTATAAAATATATAAAAAGAAAACTTTTGTTAGAAGCGGGGCTTACAATAGACACATTACTTTGGTATTTTGGCTAGGAAATTTTTTTATGTTTTTAAAACAAGGAAACCATCGACTTCCTAATGAAACGGGGAAACGTTTTTGGCCAAAACATACCCATAAACGATCGTAAATGCAATCTTTGTAGAGATAATCGGGAGATGAAGTTTCATTACATTTTTTAAATGTCCAATATTTGGAAAACGGAAAGAAAGAAAAATATATAGATAATTTTAACGCGACAAACGACCAAAGTATGTTTTAAATTCATAGAAACTATTAAACTGTATGAAATAATTGAAGAAATTAGAATATTTTAAGTATCTGTTGTATATAAAATTAATGCAATATTTTGTTTTTTCTTGATTATTCTCTATGTTACATATATGGTCTATGTTATGTACCACTGTAGATTAAGGTATTGGTAGACTGAAAATAGTCAAACATACTAATTATACGCATTGTTTTATGTATTAGATATTAAATGATTTCTGTTTAAAAAAAAAACAAGTAATATTCTGTAATTTTTATTCACATAGTTCACAATAGGATAATTTATGAAAGGTTCACTAAAACTTATATGTCACATTTGTAAAGACATTAAAATACTACATTTTTTAGCCAAAATTTAGAATATTTTACTATTCTTCTGAAAATGACATTAAAACTGACAAAAAATGCTCTTATGCTGCAAATATATTGCATTATTTTCATTTTCTTGTGTATCATGAAAGAGTTAAAGTTTTATATCTGTTAAATATACAAATTAAGAATTATATATTGACTAAAGCATATAAATATATTTATCTATTTGGCATTTGAATTATTTAAAAGAAAAATTGTTTCTTTGTTATACGTACTTAATAAGTCTCTCACTATCTTTCTTAAAAAGGTTGAAATTATGCAACATGTAATCAATCACCTTTGTTGAAATTTGAAAAAAGTATAATATCGTTAAGATATTTGAAATACTATGTCATCTTCGGCTATATGTATAATATATATAATTTCACACTTTTAACATTAAGTGTTAAATTACAATCTTTAATATGCTATAAGTACGTTTCGCAACATTTTATTTTTCTTCTACAGCAAATCTAAGATTCAAATATGAAACCTTTCTGTTTCAATTACAAACAATTTGAATACTGAAGATGAATGTTAAATTGTTAGAAACTATTTATAAAACCTGGATATCCTTTCGTGTTTGTTTTTTTCGATAGGCCTTTCGTTTCGTTTTGTTTCAGGTTATTAATGAAAGGTGTAAACAATTCTATTTGATCCATTAGTCATACTAAATATTTTTACTAATAAATATTATATTTTTTTTCTCACCAAATTGTAACATATATTACTAAATTATCCCCTATAAATGTAATATAGCCGTTTTCCATTATGTATTTGTATATGTTTATGTATGTATACTGCTGATGTTTCCCGCTATTGTGGGACTTGTGCATTTTGTAAATAAA